TTCAATTATGTACCAGCTGCCCAGTGTCGGCTAACAATACGAAAAATTAAATTGTGGTAAAATGCTACAAGTTCTTCAAATACCTATAGAATGATAGGTCTCTTTTTGTGAGTGTAAAACACTTAAATACAACAAATCCACATGTTTGTTAATTTAATGAGCTGCCATTCTTCCTGGTCTTGTTGTTTGTTTACTTATTGGTAGTCGGTGTATATTAGGGTAAGATTTAGCAAAAGAAACAAGTCTCACCTTCAAAGTTACAGTTTAAAACAATACAATCTAAACAAATGAAAATAACCAATGACTTAAGGTCTGAGTTGTGCTACAAAATAACACCTACCTATCTCTAGCACTGAAGTAGCGGTTAGACTCCAGTGTCCTTATGAAAAGTAGAAGAAAGGTTTTGTTCATAATAAGATGGCCAAACTGGCGCAATCCTTTCTCAATGTATGGTTTTTTTCCAGGATCAATCTGAGGAACCAAAAATATGAAAAATTTCATTACAATATTTAAATTCTACAAATGTACAATTAAAGCAAATGCTTTATTTTAAAAATAAGAAACATCAAACAGACTTAACATCTAATGATCGAAATGCTTTACAATAAACTCTCCTCCTTCAAATCCGAATTGTATATTTTCTTTGTTTTAATAATGGGGTATCTGTGACATGTCTCCTGAGAGGATTGATCACAATCCTGATTGATCCAGCTCACTTGGCACGATAAAAATATTTCAATAAAATAAAACTTGAAAATGTAGCATTTCATAACAAGCTTAGAAAATTGGGTCTGCAGTTATGCATAGAACACTACAAACTTTAGGGAAAACTAAGTCAAGAAATAAAAAATTCCAGCCATCACAATGTTTGGTTGCAGTTTGCCTTTTAATAGTTAAGATACATCTATCAAGACATTATTTATACAATTTTTGGGCAATATGACCATTAGTTTAATGACAAGAAAATCTATTCATTTGTGCTACAACCACAAACATTTGACATTCAGCAAACTACCAATTTTGACAAAGGGGTAAATAGAAAAAGTAAGTCTTAATACAACATTACTTACAGGCATCTCTCGGAGTACAGGATGGTCTTCAGAATATGGAAATAAAACCTTCATTGCATAACTTCGATAGTCAAGGAAGGGAATTCCTCCTGCTGTTAAATCACTGGTTAAATCTGTCATCTCTGTTTGAAGTTCTGCAAAAGCTACATATGAACAAAAAAATTCATGTTAAAAATTAAACCAATTTATCTCACTGTCACTTACAGCATATATAAAGTTCAGTTTATATATAATTGCAAGATTAATAAGAAAACAGGCCACTATTCTTTCCTTTGAATGAGTGACAGACTAAATATAATAAGCAATTCATCTTTAGAATTATCTGATACTGCAAACAGTTCAAGCTGATTAGGTAAAACACAGTGCTTTTAAAAAAAACAACATTTCTTTTAATTTTGATTTCATTTAATACTGTCGTAAGCTATGTTTTTAATAATTTAAATGTTTGTTTGCAATATATCTAGAAATTTCATGAAAGTTATGGCCTCTGTAGAATCTAACAATTTCCAGTACTTTGTAGAAATAAGGGTAGATTATAAATACCAGAACGAGTGAATTAACCACTTAATTGATGAAGTAATGAGTTACTAAGTAATCACTTAGCAATCCAGTTCAGTGTCTGTTAGACTTAGATAGAGTTATTGCATCTATTCAGTTACTAGTTAAGTTAATCAGCATATCTTATTGGTCCATTAGCAAGAAAATTTTGAAATTAAGTATGTTTGTGAGTTACACATACATCAGTATCTCAGTTTCTCTTGAAACATTTGTTTGTGAAGATAGGCCTATAAATGAACATAGCCGGTAGCAAACACTACTGAACAATTAAATTAATTCATTATTGTTACATGGCATTATTTTTACTAAATAATCCAAAAGAACCCACACAATACAACAGTACACTATATTAATTTTTTTGTTTACATTTATATAAAATAAATATACAAAATAGACACAGAACATGTATATAAAAAAATCCTGATTTCTCAAAGTTTAAAAACATTTGAATAACAAAGCCTGCATATGTTTTTGTTAAGTGTTGTAATAGCTGTTACAAATAAAAATGAGCCCCTTATAACCACTATAAATGATCTTATATAAAGTGAAAAACCTTCATATCTTTGCTCTGTTTATGAAACTAAAATTCTTACAGTAACTAGACAAATTACCTTCTTTACACTCAGCTGCCACACGAAGTTCAAGAACATCCATCTGTTCCTGCATGCTTTTCAACACACGACTACTTTCTCGTGATTTTCGGCGGTAAAGACATACAGCCACGAAAACTACCACAAACAGTGCACAAATACCAACAACAGCTCCAATAATCAATTTTTGAGTGATTGAACTGTCTTGGTTGGACGGAAGTTCATAGCTCAGTCTTCCAATAGTTCTGTATTTGGGTCTAAAAAATATGAAATTTTGAGCTCACTAAAGTCTAACCTTACTGTTGGAAATCTGCTACGAAAAGGAAGGATTTTCTGCATAAATACTTTGTAAAGGTTCAGAGAACAGCGTGGGAGACATTCTGGGCTTTTGATTGGTTATTCAAATGTCATAGACAGAAGTAGGTGTATGTAAGCAAGTCTTTCCAAAAATACAGATGTGGGTGGGGCCATTGTGTTTGATTCATTACATGTAGCGATACCTTGGAAAATAGGAAGATAGGAGGTTCTTATTTTATATTTAGCTTGTCAATATCGGTAAGTCGAGTTACTAATTTGTAAGAAACTACAGACTTTCTATTTGAACATCACAAACATCTAATTTGAACCAATGCTGCATTCAACATACCACATGACAGGCACAAATCGATATTTAAGGTGTTTTTTTTTTAATATGTACTTTTAAGTTATGAAATTAAATAATGTGTAATACTAAAATTTGAATTATGTACAATTTGATACCGTAGTTATTGACATAAATTCATAAAATTATAGTTCAATAAAATTTTGAATGCTAGTCAATGAGATGACATGGCCTTTGACCCATGACCCATGTCGATAGGGTTAACGGAATATTAAAATGATTTTACTAGTTGTATCTTCAGTTAATACTTTTGTTTTATTATTAACCAATGTTAACTATTTTACAGGTGGAAGTTGGTGATACCCTGAATTATCACAAGCAAAATCTTCATAACTTCCAGATAATTATCAAACATTTCTTAAGAAAAAACTATTTTATCTGTTATCAAATCCCTGTACAGGTTTGGTTGATTTGACCGATCTCGTAACCACCATAAAAAATTAGGAAATAAATATAAATTATGATTTTTTTTCATTCTAGAATGACTACAAATTATAACATGAAAGCACACATTTAGTCTAAACAGCTTAAATCTCGTAACATTATACATTTATATATATTTATTATTTTTATTATATTGACCTTTCAGCCGTGCCTGGCTAACAATACAGAAGTTGCAGTGACGA